TATTTTTTGACAAGTTTGTTAAAATTTTGTTTTAAAGCTTTAAGTTATATTTTGTTTACACGTTTCTTAGTAATATTATAGTATGTTTGATATTTATAGGGCAAGTTCCCCCTGATTGTTTTTCTTTTATAAAAATTTCTTGGCTATTCTTATGCAATGACAATTCCAAATAAATTTCAAAATGAGCTCATCAATTTCCATTAAAAATTCTTGTAGGATCTTGGTGGAATCTCAACAAAATAGTAGACTAACTTGGAATGATGTCTTAAATATATCTATTCTTTGATTTCATCCCAAAATAAGGCATGTCCTTATTTATGTTCTTCCTTTGTTCCTTTTGTGAACTATATCTTTTTCATTATATTTTCTCATACTTTATTGCTAGTGTATAGGAAAGCTACTGGTTTTTATGTTTATCTGATTTTCTACCCCCTTATGAATTTCCTTTATTTGTATCTTTAAGTCTAACAGTCTTTCAATTAATTCACTTAAATTTTCTAGTCATATCATAAGTATATATTAATAAAACAGCTTTTTTCTACTTTTCAGATATTTGTACTTCTTTTTCTGATTTTATTCTGTAGTATGATCTTTCTAATATATGCATTTTCTAGGCTCCAAAGTTCAAATCTTCTTCTCAGCCAAGACAACCCTTACCCAAGCTGAACATGCCCCTCTTCCCTGACTGGTTCTCCACACTCTCTTCAACCTACATTTGCTTTTCCCAACACATTATGTCTCCTTGCCTATGTCCCTTCTATTTCCTCTGTGTAAAACTCCTCCTCCATCAAAAATTACCTGTGGGATACAATGTATACTATTCTGGTGACGTGTGCACTAAATGCCCTGATTTCACTGCTCTACAATTTATCCATGTATCAAAAAACTACTTGTATCCCCTAAATCTATTGAAATTTAAAAAAAAAATAATTTTAAAGAAAAAAACCCAAAATTCTTCTTTCTTCTCTCTTCTCCCAACCATCTTCATGCTGAACTTCTTAACATAAATTCTTTCAGGTTTCAACTCAAGAATTTAAACATTCTGATATTGGGCAGTGTTAACTTTCGAGGGGGCAGGCTTCTGTTTTCCTTCTCCATGCCACTCCCCTTGCATGTATGGCCTGCCACACTGTACTAATGACATTTAATTATAATTTTTCTGTTTGCATATTGGTGAATTAATTAGACAGAAATTTTCCTTAAGGGCAGGACAATGCCTATTAATATTTTGTTTCTCAGCATGTATCATACTCCCCAGGGCTTGGTCAAACCGACTCAAGCGGCCACACTGGTTAAAATGTATTTAAATTTAACGGCACCAATGCTAAAGTAATGGAAATGTTGGCATCTCTCCTTCATAGGCAAAGTGGAGAGATATTTTGTCATAGGCACTCTTTCATTTGTGTTTTAAAAATTACAATGGTGATGATGGGAAAGGCTGGCCTTGTTTTAGTGCAAATTCTAATTTAAACATTTTCTTCTGACCCACAGATAACTTTATTTGCCTGTTTAATATTACTTGCACATTGAAATACTGGGAAGACTACTTTTCTAAAGCTTAGCTAATGTGGTTTTGATTAAACAAATCTAATCCAAAAGATATCGATAGGTCTTTTAAACTTAACAAACACTATTAAACATTTGGAAAACACATCTTCTAGAATAAGAATTGTTCCCTAAATGCCTGGAAAATAATTTTTAGCCAAATGTAAACGTACATAAAACTCAGGGTAGTCAACAAAAGAGCAGGTTTTCATTACTACTTTTTAAATTTTGGGAACATTTGATTAAAGTAAAGGGAGATGAGAAAAACTATAGAGGAAAAGACATCTGCTTAATGAAAAATTATATATATATATACATATATATACACACACACATACATACATATGTATATATTTTTCTCCCTCAAAGCTGGAGTGGGCTATGAAAATGTCCTCAATAGTTGCTTGGGGAAGAATTCCCAGACATTTTATAAAGTTATTTTTTCAGGATGCTTTTTTCCCCCCACAGAGGCCACAATGAAAAGTATTCAGTCTCAAAAAGAGATTGAAAGAAGCAATCTATAGATTTTTAGAATAAAATATAGGAACAGAAATAGAACACAAGTTGACAATTATTAATATGTAGGTAACAATTACTGAGTATTTACTATGTTCCAGGCATTATGCTGGATATGTTAAATGCATGATCTCATTTACTTCCCATGAAAATGCAATGAGGTAGGAGCTATTATTTTGCTCCACTTTAATGATGAGGAAAGTGTGGTTCAGTACCATCCTATCTAAGGTCATGCTTAAGTGGCCGACTCTGAAGCTAGCTCTCTTCCCCCCCACTTTACTAGCCATCTACTATTTGAAGCATGTATACCATACAAAGCAGAAGGTTTTTATTATTTAAAGACTAAAGCCTGAGCAATTGCGGACAGCCTGAGGACCCTCTGCACTTGGTACAACTGTTCTGGTGCAATTCATTTTGTCAACAACATGTAATGGGTGTCTGCTAGATGCCTGGCACTGTGCTTGATGCTGGGATGCAGAAATGACAAAGCCACTACTCCTGACCTAGAAGGAACTACAGCTGGTGGCAACCTAGACAAATAAACAAGGGCAATACCATGTGAAAGCAGGAGCCTGTAGGGTGGGCTCTTCACCAGGATTGAATTCACACATAAGGAGAAGAGAATTATTTCACGATGGCCCTGTGAGAGATACAGGTCAGTGCAGGCTGTTCAAATAGAAACACAGGTCAGGATGAGAAGCAATGGAATCTGGAATGATTACCTGAGCCACTGCTGGCTAAGAGCTTCCCTAATATCCCTATGAGGACGGTTTGATAAGAAAAAGCTGACATGCCCCATTCTTATGCTTAAGTATCTCGATTCAGTTATCTTCACTTCCTGTTGTTGATTTTATACAGCTCTATGTGCAAAGAATTTCACCAGATATTATTCATTAAGTCAGGAAGTCATTCAATAAATATTTATTAAGTGCCCATTCTGTGCACTGGGGATGTGGAGGTGGGCAAGATGGACAACATTCCTGCCCTCCTGGAACTTCCCTTTTAGCAAGAGAGACAATTAACAAGCAGCTAAATAAATAAACACTGTTATTTACAGAGTATAATTATTGCTGTGAAAGAAATAAACAGGGTTGTCTGATGAAGAGTAATTGGGGAAGGCCTCTTAGGAAGGGTGGTCTAGGAGGCACCTGCAAAGAGTGACAGATGGGTGAGATCCGGATGGGAGTGAGGCAGTCATGCCAGCAGCAGAGAGAAGAGGAGCATATTGGGCACAGGGGACAGCAAGTGCAAAGACAGACACTGTGGTGGGCTGCTTAAAGCTAGAGGGTTTGTAGACCTCATTCTCATGCTCCGCATGTGTGAGACCAAGTTCTAGGTGCCTGTTTTGTAATGTAAAGGAGCCTATTGTTATTTTGTATGCCAACAATAAAAGGTGTGGCAATGAATAAAAAAATACTTTTTTCATTCTCTTGCTAGAAAATTCTGAAACTTACAAAAGGCTTATATTTTGCATGGTAATGGAAAAATACAATGTAGAGCTAGAGGAGGCATCAATAGCATCTAATCTAACTCCTCATTTTAGATAAGAAAATTGAGGCCCAAAAGTGAGATAAAAGTCCCATGATAACATGATGTGATAGTGGCAGTCCTGAGATTAGAACTCCGATTTGAAATTATGTGTGTCCTTTCCTGAACAGGTTAAGGATGAAATATTTAATATTTGTAACTGGCAGGGACCCAAAGTATTTGTGTTAAGTATTTGTTTTGAAAGTGACGAACCTATTTTTCCATCTAGCTTGAAGCTCTTCCAAATTCAGTTGTTAAAAAGCAAACTAACTTTGATTCAGAGCTGTTCACGTGCCTCTTAACCTGAAGGTGGAAGTGTGTGTGACATCGTTTGGCCACCAGAGGGAACTGAAGACTCCTATTCTGAGAAGATGATCTCGTTTCTATTATCTAACCCACGTTCTCACAGGGGAGCCCGAGAAGTTGGCTGGATAGGAGGAGGCTGGGTTTTACACATGCAGCAGAGGCGGACTTCGGCTCACACAGCTGTTGCCTACACCTGCTCACATGACTGTCCCAAAGCAGTTGAGTGAAATTACCTCACCTCTGTTAAGCAATGTAGCTCAGAGCACCAGGTGTCCGCCAGAGCCAGATTTACAAGTTGACAACTCCTGTACAACCACCACTGTGCAATCTTCATAGCAACAATTAAAGTGAGAATTTGAGGCCAAGCCAAAAAGATCTCGCTCGGAAAAGATGTGACCAAAGCTTAAAATTATAAAGAATGTAGGCCAGGCAGGTGCCACGAGTTTATTTACCGGTTCCCAGGATAGCAGCATGAGGGAGCACTCCTTAAAGAGATCTTAGAAGAAGCAAAAGAAATGCCCATTACATGAGGCAGGGAAGGTCAGCGAAGGCAATAAATTCATGAAACCACTGACCTCAGGTCTGATGACTTAACAGGTCCTGGACCTTCAAGCTCGAATTCGTGCATGGTATACTGCTAGCAGACTAATGACCTCTTAGTGTCTGAGAGACTCCTGGGGTAGTCAGTTTATAAGGTCTTGAGCTTTGGGACTCCTGCCAAACTTCACTATTGGGAAACTTGCTGCTCTCTGGTGCCGAGTGAGTCCAACAGAAAAGAGGCGCATAAATTGAAAATGCAGCATTTCCTCTCAGATGCTAGATATCCATATCCAAAGGTATTAAAAGAAGGAAGTTGTGTGTGCGTGTAAAGAAGTTGGTCTTTTCCTGGCAGTATGACTTAGGCAAGTTGCTTAAATTTCTTCAGCCCTGCGTTTTCCATCTGTCAAAACGAAATAAACATCCCATTTAGGACATATCAACAATGCTTGAAGGGGAGGGGCGGAGCGATTAGAAGGCGGGTAAACAAATCGCGTCGCCCACTGGTTGTCCGACAGCAGAGGGCCCGCCCCCTCCACCCTGCTTAGCTCTGATTGGCCCTCCCGGCAGGGGCGGGACCGGGCGCGCAGGGCTAACCCCGCGCCCCGCAGGTCGCCGGGCCGGGACTCCAGCTGAGACGCCGCCATGGCCGCGCGCGCCCGCGGGTCCGTGCGCGCCTTGCTCGCCGCGCTGCTGGCGCCGGCGCTATTGTCGCTGCTCGTGTCGCCCGCGCGGGGTCGCGGCGGCCGGGGTCACGGGGACTGGGACCCGGTCAGGGTGCCGCCGCTGCCGCCCCGCGAGGACGCGGCGCGCGTGGCCCGCTTCGTGACGAACCTCTGCGACTGGGGCGTGCTGGCCACCGTGTCCTCGCTGGAGGCGGTGCGCGGCCAGCCCTTCGCCGACGTCCTGTCCCTCAGCGACGGGCCCCCCGGCGCGGGCAGCGGCGAGCCCTACTTCTACCTGAGCCCGCTGCAGCTCACCGCGAACAACCTGCAGGTGAGCGGGAAGGCCGCGCGGCTTCCGGCCCCGGTGGCCGTGTGGGCACCGCGGCGCTCGCGGCCCTGCGGCCCGGCCACGGGCGGGGCGGCCGGAGAGTGGACCTGTCGATTCTGACCAAAATTCTGTCCGGGAAGTAGAGTGTGGCTCCTAGAGATAAGAATTTGAACCCGGCTCGAACGACTGCCTCTTCTGTCCCTCGCTGGCACGGTGGGCATTGCAGCATCCCGAAGGTTGGGCAACTGAGTACCAGGAATTCCGCATACGCCTCGCCACTGGGCGACGCTCTTGGGGTGAATTAATCGCTAGTGCCGGCAGGACTTCTCATCCCTGAGTCGGTCTGGGGCGCACTGTCTCCATTAACCAAGTTCTTGTTGTTAAAGGTTTTGCAGAGTATAGAAATGGTTGGGTCATTAAGCACTTTGCATCCTTGACTTTGGAATTTCTCCTTCTTACCCTCCCTCTGAGTTAAGAATTTTCCCTTCATCAGCAAGAAGCTAATAGACAACATCGTGGACGACTACAATGATGACTGCAGTCTTTTTAGGCCTCCACATGGACAGTGGCTTCCTTAATGTGGAGCAGAACTGATTGAAGATCTGTCTCGTCCTCATCCATTGCCCATCTTCTGGGGCAGGGCCAAGCTTACAACTCTGGTGGACCTCTGCTGTCCCAAGGATGGGGTCACAGACACACAGCTTAGGAGGCTGGAGCCATACAGTGCAGGAATGCAGCCTGGTTTGGTGGAGGGTCTTTTTGACAAAGATCTCAGATTTGAGGTCAACTGGGAAAGTACAACATTGTTGATTAAGATTGGACATAAGAAACTGATGTTTGATTAAGCACTTTCTGTGTGCCAGGCCAAACTTCACTTTCCATTCATCGTCTCATCTAATAATTATTTGAAGTAGATATTATTATCCCCATTCTGCAGATGAAGAACTTGAGGCTTAGATAGGTTAAGTAACTTGTCCAAAGCTAGTGACCTAACCTTAGTTTCATTTCAGGCCCATCTGCCTTCAAACCACAGGTCAGACTGGTGGCCTGTGAGCTGAATATGTCTCATAGACCAGTTTTCTTTGGCTCACACAGAGTTCTGTCTTTAGTAAATCCGAATGAGTTACCAACTTTTTTTTTTTTTTTTGAGACAGAGTCTCGCTTTGTTGCCCAGGCTAGAGTGAGTGCCGTGGCGTCAGCCTAGCTCACAGCAACCTCAAACTCCTGGGCTCGAGTGATCCTTCTGCCTCAGCCTCCCGAGTAGCTGGGACTACAGGCATGCGCCACTATGCCCGGCTAATTTTATATATATATATCAGTTGGCCAATTAATTTCTTTCTATTTATAGTAGAGACGGGGTCTCACTCAGGCTGGTTTTGAACTCCTGACCTTGAGCAATCCTCCCGCCTCGGCCTCCCAAGAGCTAGGATTACAGGCGTGAGCCACAGCGCCCGGCCGTGTTACCAACTTTTAAATTGAGATTTTTACTTAAAAATCTAAATTTCTACCTTCTCTTGAAAAATTGGAAGGTCTAGCAACACTGAGGACCTACATTTTCTGAGCTGCAGAAGCAGCTGCCCTCTTTTAGCTAAGGCACATATATACCTCAGTTCACCATTTTCTTATTCCCAGCCCACTCCATTCCTTTAGGCATATGCTCAAAACAAACTCATTCCACTCCATCAGTGATGCTCAACTTTGGCTGCAAATCAGTCACCTAGGAAGACTGATTAAAATGCAGTGCCAAGATATTTTATTAAAAACACATTTTTTTTGCCGATTTGGTTTCTCACGCCTGTAATCCTGCACTCTGGGAGGCCGAGGCAGGAGGATTGTTCGAGATCAGGAGTTTGAGACCAGCCTGAGCAAGAGCGAGACCCTGTCTCTACTAAAAATAGAAAGAAATTAATTGGCCAACTAAAAATATGTAGAAAAAATTAGCCGAGCATGGTGGCACATGCCTGTAGTCCCAGCTATTCGGGAGGCTGAGGCAGGAGGAACCCTTGAGCCCAGGAGTTTGAGGTTGCTGTGAGCTAGGCTGACACTACGGTACTCTAGCCTGGGCAACAGAGTGAGACTCTGTCTCAACAAAACAAAAAAACAACCACATTTTTTCCCTAAAACAACACCCACTCCCCCTCCCCCACAACAAAACCTCTCCCTGGTGATTCTAATGGGGGAAGAGGGAGATTGAGCTATACGTGATCATATTTAAATTTTCGAGGAGACTAGGGAGCTGCTGGTATTATCCCTCATGTGTAAAATGCCTGTCCTATCTAACCTGTCTCTAAGAGACAGGATGTAAGCTTCAGATGTACTTGGCCACATTTCTTTTGTATGTTTTTTTCTTGGTGGCATTTTTGTATAGTAAATGTTTCTAGAAAGATGTTGCTGATGTTAGCTGGTAATGGTACCCGATTGGGCTGCAGAGCCAGTGAATCAGAAATGAAATCTTGGTACTGTGCAGTTATGTGGGGGGAGGTGAAAAAGAAATGAAATATTGGGGTTTGCTTCTTGGCCTCCTTTCCTTCTTGGCACTCTTCTCTTGTGATATGACCCTCTCTTCTCTGATCACTCTTGGTTTTTTTCTCTGACCCACTAAAATGAGTGTCCTCCAAATTCAGTTTCTTACCTTTCTGTTCTCAGTATGATCCTTAGAAGATCATATATACTCTCATTCACTTCATTCCCAGTTGTTAAGATTCACTTCCAAATTTATGTCCTTTTCTGACTTCTTCAAAGTTCTGTATTGCTAACTGCTTGCTGTTCATTTTTACTTCATTAGTTTACCACCACCTCAAATTCAGCATGTTTAAATCCAGTCCTTTATCTTCCTCCTGAAATCAGCATTTCTGTTAATAGTATGATTGTTTTCTCAGTAAACATATTTGGAATTCTCACTCCCTCCCCAAACATGTCATTTCCCAAGTCCTGACAATTTTCTGTTGTTTTCTTTGTTTGTGTCCCTGTCCCTTCCTTTTTATTCCTGCCACACCATCCTAAAGCTTATCTCTTCTTGCCTTAAAGTAACTCTTTAATAGTCTTCCTATCTGCCCTGTCCACCCTGACCACCAGATTTATGGTAACAAAATACCTCTCAAAATGTCTCAGCATTGCCCTCTGGCCTTTAACAACATCCTCTGCCCATAGCTGCCTAAGAATCACTTGGGGTGTTTGTTTAAAATGCAGATACCTGGGTCTGGAGTAGAGGCCAAGAATCAGCATTTTAACAAGCTCTCCAGGCAGATGGTTCTTGGAAAGCACTCCCAAACACTGGCCTACAAAATACAATCTGGACTCCGTAGCTTGGATTTGAGCCACCCCAAACCCACTTGCTCTGAAAGTCTCTCTTTCTAGCAAATTGGGTTTCTCCATCCTCTCCATCATGTCTGAGGCACTCTCAGTTCTGTGGTTTTTGCAGTCATCACTCCTGCCTTTAATATGCCCTCCCACTTCTATCCTCACTTTGAATATAAGGTACCCTATAGTTTCTCCATCACACCAGGCTATGCTGATGTCTCCTTATGTTGAACTTCGAATGCACTTTATTGTTCATTTGCAGTTAGTTATGTACTGCCTTCTGACTACTTCTCTATCTTTTGCATTAAGTTTTGTTTATGTTTGGCTTTTCAACCATATTATAAACTCACAAGTTCGAAACCAGCCTGAGCAAGGGCGAGACCCCGTCTCTACTATAAATAGAAAGAAATTAATTGGACAACTAATATATATAGAAAAAAAAATTAGCCGGGCATGGTGGTGCATGCCCGTAGTCTCAGCTACTCGGGAGGCTGAGGCAGGAGATTGCTTGAGCCCAGGAGATTGAGGTTGCTGTGAGCTAGGCTGCTGCCATGGCACTCACTCTAGCCTGGGCAACAAAATGAGACTCTGTCTCAAAAAATAAATAAATAAACAAACAAACAAACTTACAGAGGAGAGAGACCTTATCTGAGTATACTGTGTTTCTTTTTTTGGTCTCCTGTAGTGCATTGCTGTCTAATAGTTTCTAAACAGCAAATATTTGGCTAAATGATTTCAAGGAGATCTCTTTATTACTCACTGTTTTGATGGATCACTATGAAACGGCAAAATTCTCCACAGAACATTTAGAGCTTAAAGAGTCTGAAATGTGCAAATTCTGCTGTAATCTGTCAACAGTGCCTTTTATGAAGCTGATTTCTGAATAAGAATTAAGAATTTTGCTTACTTCACTTTGAATCTGGGATAAAACTTCTCTTGTTGCTAAAGCAGGAATGAACAACTTCTCCAAGTTTTGAAATCACATGACAATTTCTGCTAGCCTAAGATAACCAACCAGCATGATTCAGCTACTTTCTTGTTTAACTAGTTGAACAACTGTGGTACTTTTATGCAATGGTTTTGTATTAGAGTTTAACTCTTTAGATCTTCAATCAAGGCTATAGACCAGCCTCGAATTTGGGTAGTGTAATTATTAATATAATCCCTCCAAGGTATATGTAACAAATTCAGGGTTTAAGGAAAAATGTGCTGAAATAATTCTTACTGAGTCAGTTAATTTTAAATATGACTCCTCCCCCACCTTTTGGGTGTGGGAGCGTCAGGATCAGTCTCTACGCAAGTGGTATTTTTCCCCTGAGTGGAAGATGATGTTTTACAATTCACTGTTTCATGGAAGACTGGTTGAGCTCTAGCAACATTATGTATGCAACTTGTGCAACTTGAGAAATTTATTACCTCTCCAGAAACCGTATTTCACATGAGAGGGTCTTCATTTTCTCTCTACAGGAGAATCCACATGCCACACTGACCATGTCTTTGGCACAGACTGACTTCTGCAGGAAACATGGATTTGATCCTCAGAGTCCCCTTTGTGCTCACATAATAATGTCAGGAACTGTGACCAAGGTAAATAGATGTCCTACACGAAGAGAGATGGTTTTAGACGAGCATCGTCTTATTAACAATGAAAGGAGAGATCTTTTGAGAATAAGGATTTATGATCGAGATGCACAGTTAGAAGATGTTCTGTGAAGTCGTTCTGTGAAAATTAAAGGTTTTAGTCAGTTGCTTTAATGTAGGTGCTCAATATGATAGTTATGAGGCAAAGGAATGATTTTCTGAAGCCGAACAGATGTAACAACTATCAAGCTCCTATATAAAATTATTCTTGCTAAGGAACATCTGCTTGACCAAAGCTCACTACTCCATCATGTTTTACATTGTACAATATTTCCTATGTCTGGGCTTCCTGTCTCATATTTTCACAGTGCTGTAGAGCAGAGAGAGCATATTAAGTAGACCAATAAGAGGAATATCTGTTACTAAAAACTGGAAGTGAATTTAGTTTAGAATGAGTGCTGAGAGAAGAGGTTAAATGAAATTGCAGGAAGGGCAGTGAGCAGGTGCCGTGAGCACTGATCTGATTGCCAAGCCAGCAGATTTGCTTTTTGACCTTGTCAATCACAAATGCCTCAGACAAGTCTTATTAATGGCCTGGAAGTTGTGTATGGATGCAACTCTGTAGTTGAGTCTCCTTCACTGGGAGGAGCAAGGGGGAGGAATGCAAAGGCTCTTGAGTTCCATTGTACTTCTTTTATCCTTCATGAACACTCATCTATATCTTTAACGTGTGCATACTATGGGATAAATATGCTAATGTTACACGTCTTAACAGTAACATGTTATAGTACCTTGTGCAAGTTACTCTGGTAGCTCACAATTACTGTTTAGCAATGAAAATTTGTACTCCTGATGGTTTCCCACTATATTATATCTGTTATTACCAACATTTGTACTCTTTATTGTTCTCTGCATTCTTCAAGTTTATTTTTTCTTGATTCCTTAAGTTTAAGATCAGGATTTACAACTAAGTAAACTCTTAGGATTTATAGAATGCTAGAATCACATATTCTTAAGAAATGAGAGAACAAAATGTTATTGCTATGAGAATGTTTATTTCACATATATCTTTTAGGTGAATGAGACAGAAACGGACTTTGCAAAGAATTCATTATTCACTCGACACCCTGAAATGAAAACCTGGCCTTCCAGCCATAACTGGTTCTTTGCCAAGTTGAATATAACCAATATCTGGGTGCTGGACTTCTTTGGTGGACCAAAAATAGTGACACCAGAAGAATATTACAATGTCACATTTCAGTAAGTAGTTGCACATCTTTCACCTTTCTAATATTGAAGCCCTTAGAGTGGTCCTCGGCCTTCTAAGGCAAGAGGGGTTTAACCATTTCATGTGCCACGATTCCTTTGGAAGGCTGATAAAGCAAATAACTGCTTCTCAAAATCATGTTTTTAAGTTCATAAAATACTTAGGATTGCAAAGGAATCCAACTATATTGAAATACATTATAAAAATATTTTTAAATGTGTGGTATAGTAATATGTTTTACTAATTAACATACTGTACTTTCAAAATAGTGAGGACTGAAGTTTAAGACATCTGCAACAACTGTAGCATGACATGAAAGTATATGTGATTTCTATATTTCTGTTGGAGACAGATACACTAACCACTTTGGTTTATTGCCTACATTTACCACTGAAGGGAATGATAGGCTGGGTGTGGTGGCTCAGGCCTGTAATCTTAGCACTCTGGGAGGCCAAGGCGGGTGAATTGCTTGAGATCAGGAGTTCAAGACCAGCGTGAGCAAGAGGGAGACCGGTCTCTACTAAAAATAGAAAAAATTAGCTGGGTGTGGTGGTTTGTGCCTGTAGTCCCAGCTACTGAGGCAGGAGGATTGCCCGAACCCAGGAGTTTGAGGTTGCTGTGAGCTAGGCTGACGCCACGGCACTGTACCCCAGGCAACAGAGCAAGATTCTGTCTAAAAGAAGGAAATGATAAATTTCAGTTAGAGCATAATGAAAATGGAAAAAAAATTTCCAACAAAGATCACAGACCCCTTGACTCTGGCTACAGGCTGAGACTCCGTTTCGGGCTGTGTTTGCTGGGCCCTGGACAGAGCCCACTAGGACCGGGAAGGCATTTTCTCACGAGAATCAGACTTGGGTGCTTCTGGCCCGTGAGTGTCCCACAGCCAAGTCTGAGCAAGGGACCCTCTCCCGTCAGCTCCCAGTACCGAGAGTGCCTGGGGTGATGTGTGGTTTCTGCCACCAGGAGGTGAGGGCTTGCAAGAGAAGAGCCTGAGACAGAAGAGGCTGTGGGAGAGAATGAAGGAGAAGCAGAGTCTGAAGCTGGAAAGGGGCAGGGAAGAAGGTGTGATCAGGTTCTTTGGAATAAGGTCAAGGTTCAGATGAAGGACTACAAGGGACTGGTTCTTTCCCCAGGTGCCAGGGAATTTTGCTGAGGAGGTGATAACAACAACAATAATAACAATAGCAGCTAGTGTTTTTGAGCCTTTATTACTGGCTGGGTGCTATAGTGGTTGCTTTAAGTGCATTAACTCCTGGAATCCTCCCCGCAACTCTGTGAGGTGTAGGTACTGTTCTTCCTTCTCTGTGAAATGGAATGCTCATGCACAGAGAAGTAAGAAACTTGCCTCAAATCTCACAGCCAGGAAGTGATGGTGCTGGCATTCAAACCCCCAGCATTCTTGCTCCGCAGCCGTCACCTCACTTCCAACCGTGCTACTGTACAGCCCCTCTGGCCACTGCACTGGTAGTTGGCAGGGCCCCTAATCCAGTGTGATTTATAATGCACTTTCTGCTTGTAATGACTGACTGCTGTTCGGGGAGATTAGGGTGATGATACAGAAGTAGACTTGTAGGTTGTAGCCCATTTGGGGGCTTAAATTCTTAGCATTTGTTTAATCTATGTGTAATTCTATTGTGGAATAGTTCCATGTTGAGCTTCTGGGTTCTTTTTTTTTTTTTTTTAATTTTTTAAGATCCCAGACAGGGCCTAGGACATTGCATGGCACAGAGCAGGGAGCAGGTGTTTGGGAATGACTGGCTGATTATTTGAGACAAAGACTCTCACACTCTTTGTTGGAATAAAGATTCCAACAGTCCTGGCTATTATTTTGCTGCCATGCATGCGGGAGAGGAGACATGGGCCGTTGATCCTCTCCTGGGCTGGTAAACACATCTTACTTTACAGGAATTTAGAGGTAGCAATTACAACATTATTCCCAGGCAACAAATTATCAAGGGAGGATGACAGCGAGAATGCCCAGCCTGCTCTTTGAAGTTCAAGTTTACTTTCACAGGACCTAATCTCTGAAATGCATTTATTTTTGTATAAATAACATGCCCAAGGGCAGTGCATGCTTTAGTCACAAAATAAAACTGTTTTTCCATAAGTCTTTATGCTGAATAAGTGAGTAAAATACTTCTGAGGTTCTCACCTTATTATGCAGAGAATGAGCACTTTTCTGCAGCACAGAGATAAGACAACATTTTCCCCTGTCCTGAGGGGAAGACCAAAGACTAGAGCAGGGTGTCAGCCCTTCTGAGGCAGTGCAGCAGACTCGGGGAATGGGCAGTGTCTGAGAGCTGCCCTGCCTGACCAGGTGCTGCTGACTATTCATTGTCCATTTCAGAGTCTGGGAATGGGACCCCGCTTCCCACCCACCTGGTTTGCCACCAGAACTGGTTAGTAGTCCAGGGAGTGTACAGTAATATCTGTCAGGCCAGAACCTGCATATTCTTGGGATACTGCTCACAGGGACCTCACAGGCATTCTGGAGCTTCTCTAAATTTGTAGCCACCTTGCTTGGCTTGCCCAGATCAGTTTTGGGAAATATTATTTCTCCAAATACTGTAAAGCCCTCTGCATCTGAAATCTGTTTTGCTCAGATGAAGGCTACCACTAGCTAGAGCTAATATGGAGCCTGACTGAACGTGGCTTGCCTCATTGGACTGTTGGGCCAAGACCCCATGAGCATATTTGCAAACAGAGTGGAAGGGTTAATGTGTGCGCAGAGTATTTACTGGCATCCGTGAGTAGGCGGTTCTCCTAAGTATAAGCATCACCTCCTATCACTATTGTCTGAGCAGCAGCCTGGTTGCACTAGGCCTCATTTTATCACCTCTGGTGCATCCAGACATTTCCTAGCAAAGACAGAGGTCATGAAAGGTCATTGATTATCAGCTTGCCCAGTCTTGTTACCTAGATATGGATTTCCAGATTGGCGGTGGCTAAGGCTGCACCAGAAGGTGGGACAGGTTCACCTCCTGGCTGCACTTGGTTTCATCAGGCCCTGGCTCAGCACTGCTCTTTTGCCATAATGTTGGGGACCCCTTCTGTTCTCAATGTTTTTTGTCTATTAAATCTTCAGATTTTCTTAAATGAGATAAGAACAGCAGCCACATCCCAGCAGCATTTACTAAAGCGTGTCAGAATCATACTTGGAGAGCAGGGGTGCTTGCTAAAATGAGGATTTGTAGGCCCTACTCTAAACCCATTGAAACCAGAACCCAGGAATCTGCATTTTAACAGACTCAGGCAATTGTTAGTACACTAAAGTGGCTGAAATTAACTCAAAATCTTAAACTTTTAGATCAGAAGTTTCTCTAGTCCTTCCCTAGAATGAATTAACTTTTAAGATTTGTCAACCCAGTTTAATGAAATAATTCTTCCTCTCTCTTCTTCTTTCTAGGTGAAGCAGAATATGGAGAATTTAACCACGTGTGAAGTTCCTTAGGAGGCTCATGCACACTCACAGGGCTTACTGTTTCTCTGGAAAGTTTCCCAGGATATTAGTTTTCCGTCACATGCTGGTTTGCTTGTTTGCCTGCTTGTTTGCCAAATAGAGTTGGACTGGATTTCTTGAGAGAGGTGGTTGCTAGATTTTTTTTTTTTTTCATATTTTGAAGCCATTTATGTAGAGGAATGACTTTCACTACAATTAAAGAAGTTTTGTTCCATCAATTCCAAATATGTTTCCAATGGTGCTCCTTAAAGAGGAGCAAGCACCAGATTTAGGTTGCCCCTTGGCGTTGGAAGGTGCTGGAGCCTGTGTTCTTTATTCCCGGAAGCCATGGACGGTGCTGGGAGTGGACGGCGCTCACCACCGCTGCCCCAGAGCGCCTGAGCTGGTGCGGAGGGGCTGGTTCCTGCGATGGTGGCGTGCCTGGATAAATCTTGCCACAACCAGCAAGCGGTACGAAACACCAGTGCAGCTTCCTACTCAGGTCCATTTATGTCTGACAGTCCTGGGTAGTATTGATCTGGCACAGGACAAAACTATTTTTTATAAAGAACTTTTTAAAAGACTTTTTACATTCTAAAATGATACTTACTTAGAACAAAAGAAGTTCATAAGATTTTCCTAAATTTCACATAAATGGAGACTGTATAATCAAAACACACACATATTATTTTGGAGGGATTACAAAAGAAAGAGAAGGGAGTTTTGTGTGTTTCTGTTATTCTTTTATAATCAACTTTAACTCAGGCATGGACCAGCTTCAGCGAGGGACAAAATCTGTCTCCCAAACCACTCTTCATAGCTTTTTAAATACTGGTACTCCCAGCAGCGACCTAAGCCTTCCGCAGCTGCTCTGAATCTCTAAATAGCTCCTACCGCTGCTGTGACCCAAACCAGGTCATCAAAGGGAAGAGAACGTGGCATTTAAAAAATCACATTTCTTTGGAAGAGAAGACATTATTTAATTTTACTACCCATACACATGATTTTAGAAGATGACATCAAATTCCTTTTAATGAAGTATGTCAGGAATCAAGCCACTGAATTCTTAAAAGGTAAAGAGAAAAGTTAAACATGAGTCATTATGTTTGAAAATACAAAATGAACTGAAATCAAGCAGACAGCTTCTGTTTAAGAAAAATGATTTATACTAAACTTAGTCAAATAGATTTCTTAGTCAAAGCATAAATAATTAAAAGCATTATTTTAATGAAATGTGTTGGATTTGTTTTCATAAACATAGATGTTAATATTTGTGATACTTTTTTTTGTACACCATTGAGAACCTTTAGTGTTATTATTTTAACATGCTCTTGAATCAGTGACTGGCTATTCCAAAAATTGAAGTGACTAATACTGCTCTTTCCCATCGGCAAAAAAGCTGATTGTGTCCTAACATTTGGGGGATGGCTTAATAGAATCCAGCCTTTGTCACAGGTTCTGCCTCAGGGCTTCAGGTGCCAGTGTACCTCATGAAAGAATTAGGTTGAGGGCAACTATTAGGTCATTAAATATGAAATGTCTGATTTCAAATCAAAAGATTATTATAAGTCAAACAAGAACTAGTACAATTAATCAAAGTATGCTCCTAAACTGTGGACAGTTTTGCCATCTTAACGGTAGGTTGTTTATGCCAGCAGCAAAGAAGCCTGGAGAGTAAGTTCAACAAAATTACAAAAGGCGTTTTCCACAGCTTGTTGAGAATTGAATATTTTCCTTGCAAGAAGTGGTCCAAAGTCTGGAAGAAGTGGTAGTCAGTTGGTGCAAGGTCTGGTGAATATGGTGGATGACAAGAGTTTCCAAGTCCAGCCTCTATAGTTTGAACAACGTTGTTTTCTGTGACATGTAGTCTTGGAAGAGGATTAACCTGTCTCTGTTGACCAGTCTCAGCTGCTTAATCACAAGCATCCTCATCATTTTGTCCAAATGGTTGCAGTAGACATCTGCTGTAATAGATTGACCAGTTTTCATGAAGTTATAGTGGCTAATACCAGTGCTTGACCACCAAATAGACACCATTAGCTTTTTTTTTGAACAAAAATTGGGTTTGGAACGGTTTGGCAATTCAACCGGAACCCAACAATGGGCCGAAAGCCAACCGATGGCAAAAAAAAAGCAATTTCCATCACACATAACAATATGGTATAGAAATTGTCTGCCTTCATGCTGTGACAGCAAAGAAACGCAAGCTTCAAGGTGATTTCTCCTCTGACGTTCATTTAATTCACGCAATACTCAGCTATCCAGCTTCTTTACCTTGAGAATTTGTTTCAAATGGTCTGATATTGTTGGAACAGTAACTTCAAACCTTGCTGCTAATTTATGCATAGACTGAAATGGATTTGCTTCCGCCATAGCTTTCAGCTTGTCATTATCCACCTTGGTCTCAGGTCATCCACATGGCTCACTTTCAAAATCAAAATCACCAGAATGGAACTCCTCAAACCGTCAACGTACTGTGTGTTCATTAGCTACATTCTTCCCAAACGCTTTATTGGTATTTTGAGCGGTCAGCACTGTCTTGGTTCCATGACGGAATTCATGTTTAAAAAGAACACGAATTTTTTACTTATCCATGGTTTCACAAAAGTTGCTCTAAAAAAAAAAATCTGAAAGATAATCACAAGCCAAAATATGCATTTTGAAAGAATGAGGATGTTTCTTCACAATAGGAAAAAAAACCAAAAACTGTCGAAGTGAAATGTCAGAGATAGCAAGTATCAAACTTAGTACTTAAGGGAATCAGACATTTCATACTTCATAACCTAATATCGGGTTTCCTGCCTTTTCCCACTTATTGTGTATTTTGTCTTCAGCATTTGGAACCATATAAAAAAACATCTATATTCAGATAAGATGTAATATCCGGAGTAAAGTCAACCAGTTTTTCATAGCATGTGTTGCACATTCCTTAATAATTAAATGTGCAGGCTTCGTCTCTGTTGCATTCTGATTGGCCACAAGAGGGCACTGTAGACTTGCACTTAGCGTGCAAAGCTAATTGCACAGTGGAGCTAATTGAGCCCATAACAGGCTGGGATGGGGTGGGTGGCCTTGATAACACTGGCGTAAAAGCAGCCCAGCAGGGGCAGGAGAAACAGAGGCCTAGTCTCATGCTGCTGCTGATAGGTTTTCATGCATTTATCACTCCCCCCACACTATGTGCTTCCCATCAGAAGCACATTCTAGTTCTGTTCTAGTCCCTCTGCACCCTGTCCTGCTGCAGAGACTAGAGCCCTGGCCTTAACCAGATAGGAGAAGAGTGTCTTAGACTTGGGTGGGGTAGGGGTTGGCCTTGGCCCAGAGAGCAAGGAAGACCTTGGTCAAGGAAAAAATAGAAAGAGGGAATGCCCCTAGAGCCTGAAGCTACAGAGCCCAGATGGCCGCATTTGGCAGATTTTGTCTTGGCCATGGATCTGTGCTCAACTGGTCAAGGCCTTTTTCTTTACCAAGCATGGCCAGTAATAAATTACTGTGTCTTCTAGTCTGGGTTCAAAGTCCTTGGGAATGTGGTGGAGTGGAAAAGAATCCTTTATGAAATGAGATAAGGGTCAATGAAATAAATGCACAAATATTCTCTTGGGATTGTTAATGTCGTTCCCTTCTTAGTACTACTCAGACTGAAGATCACAAGGTAATTGAAGAGGAGACCATTATACTTTCCTATAATGGAGCATGTTTTTCAGTTGTAGTACTGAGGAAATAGCTCTACTTTGTGTAATGTTGGTTGGTCAATATTTCTTAGGGGAATTCCAAACTGTCACTTCAAAACTAGGTGTTCTATTAATATAAATTTTCATTAGAGAAGACAATTATGAACTTAATTCCCCCAAGCTGCAAGCTTCCCCAACAAGGAACAGAGCTTTCCCTACTAAACTTGTCATGTGGCTGAGAATAGTCCTTTTGGGAATTAAGGGGGAGTATAAATAAAATGTCAATCTTTTACACTTTTTTCTTTAGTATTTATTGTAAGACATATTTGTGTCAAAAATATGAAAAATAGGCCGGGCATGGTGGCTCATGCCTGTAATCCTAGCTCTTGGGAGGCCGAGGCGGGTGGATTGCTCAAGGTCAGGAGTTCAAAACCAGCCTGAGCAAGAGCGAGACCCTGTCTCTACTATAAATAGAAAGAAATTAATTGGCCAACTGATATATATATAAAAAAAAATTAGCCGGGCATGGTGGCGCATGCCTGTAGTCCCAGCTACTCGGGAGGCTGAGGCAGAAGGATCGCTCGAGCCCAGGAGTTTGAGGTTGCTGTGAGCTAGGCTGACGCCACGGCACTCACTCTAGCCTGGACAACAAAGTGAGACTCTGTCTCAAAAAAAAAAAATATGAAAAATAAAACATTTGAAATTCATAATCTCACCAGTCGGCGTGGCTGCTCATATTTTGGTGTGTATTCTTCCAATCTTTGCTCCCATGAAATGTTTAAACATAATCAAGATCATGCTGTTTATTGATTGTGTATCACTTTATCATAAGCTTTGTTCCTAGAAACCATTCACAAGGGTGGCTTAGAATGGCTGTAGGATATTTCATCAGATCAATATACCTAGGCTACAAAATAATGGTCTGTATTGGGACTCTGTTGCTAGTGACAGAAACTCAAGTGAAAGTAGTTCATTGATCTTAAAATATTCCTTCAGAACTTGGTCTTCATTTCCTGGCTTCTCTTTCTGCTGTGCTGGTTTTAATTGCAGCCAGTAATCTTAGATCAAAGAGGATGCATTCTTCCTAGCCAGGCCCTAGATATTCCTGAACAACCACTATCTGGGAATGGGGTGCCCTCCCTGGCAAAGCCTGGATCATGTGTTCTCTCCTGGAGTTGGGGGTTCAGCTCAGCACCCTCAGAATCCCAGAGAATGGGAGAATTTTGAAGAGGGACTTGGAAAAGAGCCGTTATGTTAACTGAAGTATTCTGAGCAGGCAAAAACGAAGGGCTATTACCACTTTCCCCTTTAGGTTACTTTCAGTTTTTTCCCTGTTATAAGAGAAAGATCTTTATGCACAAAGTATTTTCTGTATTTCTGTTTATTTGCTTAGAATAAGCAAATAATATTCCATCAGTGGAATTCCCAAGCCAAAAGCTATTAGTACATGTTATAAATTGCTGGGGGTTTTTTTGTTTTTGTTTTTGTTTTTAGACAGATTCTCACTCTGTTGCCTGGGCTAGAGTGCCATGGTGTCACCCTAGCTCACAGCAACCTCAAACTCCTGGGCTCAAATGATCCTCCTGTTTCAGCCTCCCGAGTAGCTGGGACTACAGGCATGTGCCACCGTGCCCGGGTAAATTTTTCTATTTTTAGTTGTTTGGCTAATTTGTTTCTATTTTTAGTAGAGATGGGATCTTGCTCTTGCTCAGGCTAGTCTCGAACTCCTGAGCTCAAGCAATCCTCTCGCCTCGGCCTCCCAAAGTGCTAGGATTATAGGTGTGGGCCACTGCGCCCGGCCTATAAATTGCTTTTAAGAATGTACATCAATTACTATGTCTAGTATTTGCTTTAAAATATTCTAACAAAAAAAAGTGTAGGGATTACATGACATGACACTGGCAAAGGTTAACTGTCGAAGCTGGGTGATGTGTACCCAGAGGCTCATTTTGCTATTATTCCCTTCCCTTTTGTACATGTATGAAAATTATGTAATAAAAAGATTTCTAAACTGAATTGGAAAAAATAAAGAATTGGGAATCTAGAAAAGTTAAGTGACTTTCCCAAAGCCACCCAATTGTGGTCTCTAGGTAATTCCAGTGCCATTGCTCCCACTCCACACTAAACTGGCACGTGGTCATAGTGGTGGTGTTTGAGACAGATTGCGTGTGTGCAAGACCCTCAACACCAAGGCAGGAACCCAGAGCTAATGCGCATGTGGGGGTGGGGTGGGGGGCTAGAGAACAAGCTTGATTTGGGCGATTCAGGAATTCAATAGAGATTTCCTGTATTATACAATTGCTGTTGTCAGTAACATTTTGGAAAATACATAAACTAATCCAAAGCTGAGGAAAAACAAGAATTTATATCAATTAACAGTCCTGCAAGCAATGTATGAAAGTCCTCACTTAGCGTGCTGAACTTGATAGGTAAAACCAGTGTTGTAGGCCGGGCACGGTGGCTCTCGCCTGTAATCCTAACACTCTGGGAGGCCGAGGCCAGCGGGTCGCTCTCAAGGTCAGGAGTTCGAGACCAGCCTGAGCAAGAGTGAGACCCCGTCTC